CGGCCGGCGCCCACGCTGTTCTTGGCCGCCGGCTTCACCTTGTACCAGGGGCCGCACTTGAGGCTCTCCAGCTTGAAGGAGCGCTCGGAGGAGCTGATGAACACGTCCTTCCACTCCTCGCTGTTGTCCACCGAGTACTGCAGCACGAAGCCTGCGGGAGCAACGACGGGGCCGTCACCTTTGGGCTGCCCACCCTGGGGACATCCCACGGCTGAGATGGTGACCAGTACACACCGAGTCCTGCCCACCCCACGGTGATGGAAACACAGCCCTCCACTCCTACACAACCAATGTGGGTCGCACTTGGCTCAGAACCATCGGCCAGGGCGAGCGACTGCCCTCCCGACCCCTGCTTATGGCCTCAGCACAGGTCAGCTCCTCGGCACACTCTGGCCGCCCCCGGCCCCACCGCCTGGTTATGCACGGGCACACAAAACGTGATTGATTGTTGCGGGGCTATAAAGGGAAAGCCAGAATTAAAGCAGCTCCCTCGGGACGCTGCGCGGAAGTTGCTTCTGTCATTGAACGCCGCCTCCTCCTCTCCCGTGATTAAGAGCGTGAGGAAGCACGGCGTGTCCTGCCTGAGCAAACCTTACGCTGCTGGCAGTGAAACGCTTGGGGATGGCTCTGCCAGGCTTTCCTGGGGAGCACCGAGTGTCAGCGAGGGGTGCAGCACCGACAGCATCCATAACCCCCACGGCAGCGCGTCCCTGCCGCCCCGACTGTTCCCACCTTTTTGGCTACGCAAAACCCCAGCCCTTCTCGGCGCGCCGATAGATCTGGCTATTTTTACAGGTTCTTTCGCCAAGCCTCGAGTAAAAATAACAGAAAAGAGGAGGCTTTCTGCGTGTGCCTGTCATGAGCCACATAACGTGGTGCCTGCAGCAGTGCTGCGGGTGCCAGAGCCGCCTGGGTACCGGGGCGGTGATGCCAAAGGACCCACACAAAGCAGTACCAAGGAAGAGAGGCTCCTGTACCTGCCCAGCATCAACGCTTCCCTGTGCAGGGGGACACTGGGACCTTCCTGGGTCTGCCCGCAGGCACACGCTTCCCTCCACATTTGAGCCAGCCCTGGCACCCCCACATGGCTCCCGGTGCCTGGCACCCTGGTGCCTGCCACCGGTTATTTATTTATTTAGTACATGCAGCATGTTTTTAATATTTCTAATCCAATTATAACCAAATTTATCAACAGAGTCCGCTGGAGTGAAAGGCTGCTGGCTGGGGAGATTTGCTTGTAATTACTTTCATGCTTTTAATTAATTGTAAGCGAGGTCTCCTTCCCCGCTCCCTGCTCCCCCCTCCGTGTGCAGCTGTTTCAACGTATAATTCAGGAGATGAATCAGAGCAGAAAGGAGGCCCTGGAAAGCAGGGATGCTCCCGGAGCCCTCCCGAAGCCCCCAGCCTGCCAGGAATGGGAAACACCAGGGAACGGGGGAAAAATCCCATCCTGTCGGGTTCAGAGCCACAGCAGCCCAGGTTGACACACAGCAAGCAGCCACTGGGGCCGGCCCTGAGCAATTAACGACACGCTCTTCGTTACCTCCTGCGATTGCTGCTTCTTGTCCAGGCACCTTCCAAGCCCCCTGGCTAGGGCCAGCAGCCCTCCTACAAGCTCACACGCATCAACCTTACTCTAGGGCATTTCAGAGGCATTTCAGAGGGGGAAACTGAGGCACAGAGACAAAACGCAGGCAGAAAACACGTGCCACGACCAGAAGCACTCACGAGTTGGGCCACCCCCCGGTGCCACCCCGCAGCCCACAGTGGCCGTACCTCGGATGGAGCTGCCCCCGTTGTCCCCCGGAATCCAGGCCAGGGTGATGGAGGATGCCGAGGTCTTGGAGACGGTCAGGCGGGGCTGGTCTGGGGGCACTGGGGAGGAGGGAGAAGCCTGTGAGCACCGGGCACGCACCAGCTCTGTGGTATTGGGCGAGGAGGAGCGTGACCGTGCACGGAATTTGGATGCGGATGTAGCCCCCCGCTGGGGCTCTCACCTTGCACCAGCAGGTTGATGATGATGGTGTCGAAGCCCCAGGTGTTGGTGGCGGTGCAGGTGTAGTAGCCGGAGTCCTCCGCCTTCACCGAGCGCAGCACCAAGGTGCCGTTGGCCTGGATCAGGCGCTGGCCGTCCACCGTCACGGGGATGGCGGAGTCCTCGCTGCCGGGAGAGCAGAGGGGACATCGTGTGTGGCGCAGCAAGGGTGACGTGGCCAGCACTGGCCCCCCATGGCTGGTGTCCCCCTCAGTACCTGTCCTTGGTCCACTTGAGGGCAGGGACCGGCTCCCCGACCGAGTTGCACGGCAGCCGCACATCCTTCATCCAGGGCGTGGTGACGGTGCCACCGAAGGAGATGATCTTGGCCGGGGCTTGGGGACAAGGACGGGGTCAGCCAGGGGGACAGGCCCCGTGTGCGGACCCACCCTGTGCTGT